AGACCTTGGTAGCTTTCTCATCATCCATGAAGCTCTTCAACAAATTCCGCCAGATTCTCATGAAGCTCGTCTTTACACTTCCCTCCTCCATGCGCCACCACAAAAAGAGGAAACCGGACTCCGGATATGGCGGTGAGAGGCTAGAGACACCGAAGATATCGTGTAGTAATTCGTACTACTCCTCTCACACTCACTACACCGAAGCTATCTCAGACTGTATTGACTTTTTCAATAGAACGTCGATTGATAGTAAGTCTCAACAAGAAAGTGAAGACCGGATTGATCATGATCACAGTTGTTTTAACGTTTAGTCAGACTGAAAACAAATCATGATCTCATGTCTTTTATTTTTTTCTAAAATAACTCAAACTTTGCATGTAGCCACGGTCAGTCTTTGCATGTTTCACCGAAAATTTTCAATTAACAAAACGGAACTCAAACTTCTTGCTGTCTTCCATGAATGTTAGAGAACATCACAGCGTTTTTCATCTTATCTTTGATTGATCCGTTACCGTGTAATTTTTTCTTTCCAATGCCATTCCAATTTCCAAGAGGCCAAAAGTTGGAACTGGACAAGTCATATGACTAAAGGAGCTTAGGACCGAACCGAACCGAGACTTGACATTATTTTGGAAAACTAGTTGTCTTAATAATGCCTCTTTGCTAACAAAAAAATATCAAGTTATATCTCAAATCTCTAATCATTTAAAACCTCCTCCACAAGCTCAAGCCAATCCATTTCGCTCGGCTTCTTAAACCACACCAGACGGGAGACGAAGAACGAGCTGTCCGCCCATTAAACTGTCCCCAAAAACAAATCCAAATCTTTAGTCATTCAAAAACATTTTAACACTAGTCTATATACATCTCGATTGTACAAAACATGTTTCTAATTACCTCTGAACGTAGTAATAGCAGAAATCTGCGAGGATGAAGGTTTGGACGATTTCAGAGACGAGGACCATAATAGGCCATAGTCCATACCCTAATGCAGTCAGTAACCGCCCTCGCGAATCCAACACCTACACAGCGTTTAAATCAGTACAATAAGAATATAATAAGAGTTTATTATGTGTAGCCTGAAGGAAATCAAACTCAATAACCTGAAGGATCCAGTGAGCACAACTCAAGAACCTGGCAATTCCCAAAGCAAATACGTAATGTGCTGTGAATGGTTCCACGATCTGAGCAAACGACAAAAACATTTGAGATAGGAAGATTCATACAAAACATTCTTTTTTCTTTCTAAATAGCACGGAATTGAATGGTACCTTAGTGTTCTGCATGACTCTTAACTGAGGAAGAACTGAAACAGCTTCAAGATAAACACAGAATGACCAAGAAATCCTGTTTATGATGTGGTGACGTGTCGTTGGATGAATGAGGAAAGATAGAACAGCACATGGGATTACCTGAAGCAAGAAAGAAATAAGTTCTCAAAACATCACATTGGTATCAAGATTCGTAAAAACCATTACTCCTATAATCAATAATCAAGATTCAAAAAGTCTTCTACTGATTTAAGCTTATGTAATTGGAGTGTTTGATAGTTGAAATTGTGATGTCGAAGCTCTGGAGTCAAATGGAGATGGAAATCTCATACATAGACGCCTTACGAATGATTAAGTCTCAAAGTAACCTAGCATCGCATTGAACTGAAATCGAAAACACAAAAATGTTTCCCCACTCAAAAACGAAAGAAAGAGTTTTGGTTAACTTACAACATAGTAGATAGCAAAATTGTCTTTGTCTTCCATATAAGTGGGTCTAAGCTTGAAATGAATCATATAGATGACCCAAAGAGTAGTAACCAAAGTAGCTGAATCAAGTACTGTGTGAAGATCAAATTCCATTACAAAACTACAATACAACCGCACAGCCAGAAACAAAGCCGTTAGCTCCTGTGTCTTGAGTGATATCCCTGTACAAATCATCAATATTTTTTCATAAAGATCAAAGATTTATAACACAAAACACCATACCCATTAGCCCAAATTCACAAAATCCCTAAACCTAAGAACCCAGAATTTTAATTCCGATAGTACCAGCGCAAGTCTTCTCCTTGGTGAGTTTGTAGATAAGAACAGAGATTCCGAGGGCATGGACAGCCTCGGAAGCGATGAAAAGGTTGTCGTGTTCATGGACAACCACTCTAAGGAAAACGAGCACCGTCATTCCCAAAACCACACCGAGAAAAGCCTTCACCTTCGGAGGTTGCCGGCGAATCCACGACATCACGGACTGAATCGGACTCTTCTCCGCCTTCATCGTTCGAATTTGATGATTCCAAAAGATTATCAGATCACACAAGTTCGTCTTCGTATTCAATCTGAGAACGAATCTGTATAGTATTTCTTAACGCAACCATAGAACAACGCCATTTCTTTCGCGAAAAGGACACGTGGAAGCTGCTGTTAGGTGAGAGACTGATAGTTTCTTGTTTTGCAAAACTTTTGCTACCATCTATTTATTACCTTAAAACCGGTTTGGTTTTGTATTCGACGATTTCACAAAATCAGAACCATACCATACTCCGGTTTATGTTTGGATTGAGGCCCATTAAGGGCGTGTGACTGTAAACTTTTACAGCTTTAAATTCTCCGGATCGACTTTTGGTTTTTTTAATCAAAGAACTCTCTTTTATTTTTCTTTGTCTTGAAACTCATAACGGTCTAAAAA